TTGGTGGAACCATTAACGACTACCATCAAACCACTACGAGTGTTTATCTATGATAGGATCATGTTCAAGTTGTTTTGATAGGATAATGTTCAAGTTGTTAAGTTAATATCCGTAAATTATGTTAAGTTAATGTTCAAGTTGTTAAGTTAATATCCGTACAGGTATGTTATGATCAGAAGCAGATCTGCTCAGATACGTTAAAATTAAAAAATTAAGATTGGTCCTGGCTTGATAAAATCATAAGATTGATGGAACCATTAACGACAACCATTTAACCATTACAAGTGTTCAATTATGTTAGGATCATGTTCAGGTTGTTAAGTTAATATCAGTACAAATATGTTAAGACTAGGTTCAGGAGTTCTGATCAGATGTGTTAAGATGGTTAAAGTAAAATTGATTCAGTCTTGTTCAGGTATGATAGGATAAAATTGGTTCAGATTTGTTAAATTATGTTAAGTTCATGTTCTAGTTGCCAAGTTAATATCCGTACAGATATGTTATGATCAGGAGCAGATCTGCTCAGATAGGTTAAAATTAAAACGTTAAAATTATGTTCAGATTTCTTAGGATTATCATCAACGAAATTATGACTTGTTCAGGCCTGTTACCACCAATAATATAAGAATCAATCAAACAACTTCATACACTCTATTCAGTATTTGTGTACTGCTGATAAATGTTATAAGTAATCCCATTATTCCAATTACTGTTAAACAATGTTACTTATCCAAATTTGATTTAAATAATCACAAAAAAAAAAAAAAAAAAAAAAAAAATTATATATACACATACATAGATATACAAGCAACTATATTATGATTAGTTAATCAAATTGCCGCTATCCATTATACAACTATACAACTATACAATTATTACAAGTTGATTAGAATATGTCACAAGATATTATACAAAACAACTGTCCAATTGTACAATTATTACTATAGGACACAAGGGCTAAACAAGCTCATATATATTTTAGTATAAGCATTTAGTCATGATTATGTAACAATTATCCAATAATCCAATTATCCAATTATGTTATCCTTATAATTTAATCAAAAATGGATCGATATTCAACTAATCCAATGTATGATTGAGCTTTTATATAATCCAATACTCAATCATTACAGTTCTGATCACTAATTGATTGGGTCATAAAGATAGATTAAGTTCAATAATTATAATTAACACATAAGTACTCCTTTTTTTTTTTATTTTTTTATATATACAAATAATTATTATCATTTCTCAATCAATCAATAGCTGATCGGAATCCAACAACAAATAATATAACTATCCAATCGTACAAATCATCATATTTTAATCAAAGCTGATCGGGATCCGACAGCAAATCAAATCTGATGTATGATTATTTTATTCTATTTTAATTAATAATAATAATGTACCAATACAATGTGATTTCAGTTAATTATCAGTTGATCAAACCAGCCATTATGTACCAATATATCCATAGAACATAACCATCCAATGTAAAGTGTTATTGCCGTTCAAGTACTTACTGTGTAACTAGCCCGATTCACTCCTTTGTAACAATAACCCACAATCGAATAAGTGTAACTTTTATTTCAGATTCACCCAGGTTAGGAAAGGAATCAATTTCAAATTTTAATCATCCAAGCTTAATTTTACATTTTTACATTAGTATTATTGTACAACAAGTTAAATTTTTCCATAGACCGGATTATACCTCCAGCTCATACTGAAAAAGAAAAGGTTTTAAGCAACACTAGAAACGCAGCAGGGGCCGGTCGCCCCAGGACCAGTAGCATGGTGGCGTGGCCCTGGGGCGATCGGCCCAAAGGCCGTACCGGTCTACTGCTTAACTACGCGGTTTTAGGTCAATGCACCAAGGTGTATCTGCCGGAGTCTGGTGCGCTCTCCAAGATCCGGCTCTTGAAGACCTACAGCGCAGCTCCTGCCTTTCTTCCCTCCCCCTATAGCTAGCTCAACTGCAAGTATAGGGGACCGGCCTGGCACCGTCGTCGGGCGGCTCCTTCCTCACTCCGGGAAAACGGGAGCACCCCTTGACATGAGTGCAGGCTCTCCAAGTCAGGCAACTTTACCATCATACGAGGGGCTGCCGCCGCAGTTTACCACCTTTCTCTTCCCTCTTCTTTTTTTAGATTCCGCTGGAGCAGACACGACTCGGGGCGATCCTAGCCAACTCCTCGACAGCTCCAACTACAACACCTTTCCTGTCACGCCCGAGAGTCGCAACACACAGGGGTCCATGATCGCCCCGGCGCCCCGCAGCCGTGGCCACCAGCGTTGGTGGAGGCGGCTGCGGGGCGGCGGGGCCCTCATCATTCTGGACACCCTACTTCTGGATCATCTATCACCAATCACCATTCACGCTTCCCATACCTTCAACAATCATTTCAATCACCCATTTCTATCTGGGAACAGGGGTACTATCCTCACCTCACCCTCACCTTTCTTCTTTCACCTTTCAACCCCTGTTCCCTCTTTCTCATCATCCTCTATCCCCTTTTCCTCTCTCTACCACTATGGAGGGGGCAGTGGACCAACGAGATGCTCCCGGGTGAATTTCCCACCCCCTCCGCTCATCCTCACCTCATCATCAGCGCCTCTCCCATTTTTAAGGGGAGCTGGTACAATCCCCCCTCATCAGGGGGATTTAAAGCAAAACTCATCAAGGTTCATTCAACTAAATACAATTGGAATTTAAAAAAAAAAAAAAAAAAAAACCTGAAAAAGAAGAGATTGAAGGTTTTAACCATGTTTTAGAGATCAGAATACAATCAACCACGCCATTGCTAAAGGACGCAAGAAGATCAGTATGATGTGCTGGAATACTTTGCGCGTTTATATGCACGAAGGAAAGAGAATTAGGATTTTTACCAAATATCTCTAACAGTTCAATGTTAAGCGGTTTAAATACAGTTAATGAAGAAACGCTACTATTGGCACTTTCGTATACATCCGAAGAACCAGAAAAGTAATTATCATTCAAATCCATATTAAATAAATATACGTATATAGTTAAATAAATACTTATAATAAAACACAAAAACTAAGATAACTCCAAAATAAAATAAATAACACAGAAATCGAACAAGCAAAATCAAAATCATCTTCCACGTGCCTAAGTTGACGTGAAAAGACTACTCTAAACACCATGGAAAATTCTATATATACACAGTCTAATTAGTGATCTGGCAGATAAAAAAAAAAAAAAAAAAAAAAAAAATTACCTATGATTTAAATTCATCACAGAAATAATATCCTCATCGCATTATATAACAAAAAAAAAAAAAAGTGGAAAGCAAAAGAGTTTATATTTAATTTTAAGTATGGCTGTATGTAAACACACTTTTGGATTCCTTTGCCTTCCTTAGAAAAAACACAACTGACATTAGACAGTAATGACACTGACGTAGGATATCGATATTATACATTGTAAATCTAAATGTGTTTGAAGAAGTAAAACAATTTTGAAAAATAAATAAGTACAGAAATAACAACGTACCGTCGAATTTGAGATGATAATCCGACAAAGTAAAAAAAAAAAAAAAAAAAAAAAAAAAAAAAAAAAAAAAAAAAAATCATAAAGTGTATGCAACAAGTGTTCATTTCGTCTCTTTTGTGACCTCCGTAGACTGAATTGGATACTTTTGTATGAGATGTTGTAAATCACTATTAGAGAAGATCTTCTTTCTTGTTCCGTCAGCCAACAAAACAATGACCGTACCTTCAGAGGACCAACACTTTCTCTTTCCAAAGTGTTTACGAGCTGCAGCAAAGATATCCTGTCTCGCCTTAGTGAGAAATTCTGACACTGTTACATTGGAACCCCTCAATGAAGTTTTCATATTCCACACCAACATGCGAGGCTTCATTTCAGTAAAACGCACCAATATAGGCCTTGAGAAATCTTTCCTTTTAGTGCCAAGTCTATGACATGTCTCAACTTTATCAGCATCCACTCCTTTTATCTTCATTTGGTTGCTTAATATTGAAAGTATCTTCGGAAGCACATCTTCATCCTTATCTTCCTTGATTCCGTGGAACAAAAGAACCTTTCTTCGTGAATGAGCATCCAAACGATCAACATCCAATGTGATGAGTTCAATCTGGGATCTGATAATGCTAAGAGACTTCCATATAAAAGTTTTAAATGTGGAGAAGTCTGCTGCTATGGACTTGACAGTAGTATTGGATTCACGCATACCTGGCTGCTGGAGATTTTTCTCAAATTCAGTCATTCTGTTGTTAAACATTGATGACAAATCCTTCAGGCTACTTAGAAGTTTTTCAGCTGTTGTATACATGGTGCAGTGGAGATAACGTGTGTGATGATGTATGAGAGTTCAACTATGGCACCGAAGATGTTAGTTAATAACCATAAGGTACTAATTCAACTTTAATTAAAAATAATTTTGGAGCACAAAAATTTCAGTATTTTCACTTCAACAGCTACCCGCAAAATTTTTCGATTGTTAGGATTGTTAAGATTGATAGGATTACTAGAATAAAAGGTGATAAGAGTGTTAGTATTGTTAGGAATGTTAAGATTGTTAGGATTGTTAGGTTATTAGAATTATTAAGAGAAACAGAATTGATAGGATTATTAGGATTATTAGTATAAAAGGTAATAAGAGTGTTAGATTGTTAGGATTGTTAGGATTGTTAGGACCGGCAGGATTGATAAGAGTGTTAGGATTATTAGAAGAGTGTTAGGATTAATAGGATTGTTAGGATTATTAGAATAAAAGGTGATAAGAGTGCTAGAATTCTTTTTATCAGGATTAAGATCGCTAAAATTATTAAATTATTATAAAATTAAATAAAGTTAGCACACACACACACACACATACTATACCACTCAATAACATGTCAAACAGGATGAATCAAACAAAAACCCCCAGCAAAAACAAACAGGATTCTGGGGGAACAAACTCAGAAATTAATAACACACACAAAGGACCATTAACAAGAAATAGGAAAAAAGGGAAATGCTCATAGGGAAAACAAGCAATAATAATCACAGTGATAATTCAACCATAAAATCGGACGGATACACAGACACCGGATCAACAGAAACTATCTCACCGGACAGATTTATAGGTATAACGAACGAGAGATTATCCGACTCGGACTCCATAGCTACAGTCAATCTTGGGCCCACACAACCTCCTTGCCCTACTTTCCCTAGGGCACAGATATCCCAACCCTCGTCCCCACTCTCGCTCTCTTCTCTCTCTTCACTCACCTTACCAGAAAATTTGCCAAAAACACCCAGGCTGTCGTCGTCCAGCTCCAGCTCAGACAAAACAACTGAATACATATCACCAACATTCAGACCTCACACAATAGACAGGGAAAAGGAGGAGGCACCCATCAACATAGATACATGGAACGCAATACCCAGCTGCTCATATGCAAGGACCAAAAGTAAAGAAACAAAATCCACAAGGTATATGGAAAGGCCCCTACGACCGCTATGGCCCAAAGAAGGGATGGGGTGCGGGCGAGAAAAGGAAAAACCAGGAAAAACAGACAACAGTAAGGGAAAAGAAACACACCCAGCACCCGCAGCCGCACCGGCAAAAGGAGCAACTCCAACCCCCCCAGCAGCTGCTCCCTCTACCCTGCCGGAGATTACACCCAGCACCCCATCAACAGTCACCGTGAGAACAAGAAAGACTACTGGAACCAAAACTGAGATCAAGAACACCCTCAACAATACCACCACTTCTCCTGCACCATTAACAACAAGACTAGAGGAGGGCTTTTCTCCCCCCCCCCCTTCTCCCCTTGTTGTTCCCCGGTTTACTCCTACTCTCCGCCCTGCAAAAGAAAGAAGGAGGAAAAGATAGAAAATCCCAGTAACAAAGAAGAAAAAGGAAAAGGGCCGGTTCACAGAGAAGCAAATAACAATAATAATATTACATCCCCACTAGACGAGGCTGTAAAAAAAACGAACGCCATAATACTCGGACTGGCGGGAACAAGAACGGGCACGGTCAGAACCGTAAGAACTGACCCACTCTTTGCAACGGGACTTCGTAGACACACGCCCCATAAGCTAAACAAAAATAATACAGAAAGAGTTGCTGCGATCATCAAAAACAGATGGGAGGAACTTCTAAACGTAGAAAAACAAGCCATACAATTACGAAAATTACTGATCAACCTGGGTGGAAAAGACACCCTCCTATGTCCTCCTCCAACACATGCTCAGGGGGGAAACACACCCTATACTGAGTCAAGATCTAAAGCAAACTCAAAACCCACAACCATTCCCAGCCCTAACCTCTCTCTCAATCCCACACGGGACACAGACAAGAAAACAAAACTAAAACAACCCACTCACACAAACGAACAAAGAAGAAGGAGCAACAATGACGACGAACTGAATTATATTATGGAAACATTAAAGAAACACCAAAAAATCCAACGTGAACAAGACCAATATCTATCTCAATTGCAAAAACAAATTGAGGCACTCTACTCCACAAGGACTCCCGGGCAAAGACGCGATCCTCAGAACACACACAAGGGAAATACCCTCGAGTCAAGCAAACTCCCTGAACAGCATATTAATAATAATAATGATAGTAATAACCACCGGATGAACAAAAGGGAAAAACCAAAATCAAAAACAGACAACACCCAAACAACGATTTGATCACTCAACAACAACAAGAGCAATCACATTCAAGAGAACCAAACAAAGAAAGTGCAGGAAGGGAGGGGGAAAAGGGAAGAAGCAACCGAAAAAGGAAAAGTCATAAGGGGAAAAAACAACACTAACAAACACCCCGCCGAACTCACAACAACCATGGCAACAAAGGGAAAAACAGCAACAACAACACTCAAGGGTTGGGAAATCAAATCAACAAACACAACCACATCAGAGCCAGCAGATGCAGCAACAGCAACAACATCGACAGCCACAACGGCAACTACAACAGCAGCAGAAACAAAGGAATCACAACAACAACAATAATTATAATAATTCAACAAGTAACTCTGGCGCCGCTATCGCCGCAGCCTCCTCACCAGCCGCATATAACAGGCACCCCCCCTTCAAAAAAGAAAAAGAGAGAGAAAAACAAACTGATAAATGTCTCTCCACGCCAATCAGTCACGAGACAGCAGTAATAATAGGCGGAAGAGGCCTCGAAAGTAAACACTCGATAATGGAAAAGGTCAAAGAATCCCTCAAGCAAGCCGGAATCAAACCAACATACACGAACATAAAACCATTATCAAAAGGGAAAATAAGATTCGCCTTCAGCAACAAAACGCTTGCCTCCAGATTCTTGGACGCCATAAACTACTACGAGGAAACCACATGTATCAGGGCGGAATGGGAGAAGTACCTCCGCCCGGCCATAATCTTAAAAGGAATACCGAACTCATTCGAAGCACAAGACCTACCGACAATCATCACCCAAATGAACGAATGGCTAGAGGTAAAAGGAACGCAAGACATCCGCCTACTGTTCACTAGCACCAACAGAAACCCAACGAGATACAACGCAGTCATGTCCGTGGCCCCTCAATTGTGGGAGAAACTGATATGCAGCGGGCACGTTAGATTGGGCACCAACGAAATATGGGTCGACAGGTATTCAAACTTTAAACAGTGCACCGGATGCCACCTGTTCGGTCACACGCTGGGACAATGCATTGCCCCTCCCAAATGCGGGCACTGCGGAGACACTACTCACTCAATCGACCATTGTCCCAACATCTACAATCAACCCACATGCAGTAACTGCAGAATGGCTAATATCAACCCAATATATAAACAACGCTGCGACACCGGACACCTATTCAATAGCTCTTCCTGCCCCAGATTGAGGGCTATGAAACAAAAAATAGACAATAAAACAAGATATGCCTAATAACAGGAACCCCTTAGTAATTCCCAAACACCTCGAGGCACTTCAGATCAATACAGACAGAGCACAGAGTGCGTTTCACGAAAAAACTTCAACCTTATAATTAAATCATAAAACACTTACCAAAAACTCACTGAAGGGGGGGCCGGGGGGGGGACGGCTCGCTCGCGCTCTTCACTCTTTTTCTGGGCATTATATCCGGTCTGGCTTGACTGGCGGGGGCGGGTCGCCCCCTCCGACGTCTTTTCTCTGTGTCCTCCCCGTGTAGACCCTCATTGTATCAGTATCACTCTCTTCTTCTTCTTTCTTCTCGTTCTCGTTCTTGTCCCGGCTTGATCTTCTCACCTACTTACGGCTGCAGTCGCAAACGAATGTCTCCTGAAACAAAAACTGCAATTAATTCAAAACAAATTAACATCAAATCAGATCAAAAGAAATAAATAAATAAATAAAGAAATACATTCAGTTGTTCTGGCCCTAAGCCCCCCCTTATTTATTTCTTGGTCCATTTTCCATCAAGAAGCAAAGGAACAAATGAGCAATTTCAAACTGACAATCCAGAGTTAATAAATTGATTCGACTCAATACACCACAAATTGCAAATTGCAACTGAAATAACAACCACAGCTCAACTCACCCGTATGAGACACGGAACAGTTGGTTTATCATCTCTAAAATGACAACTCTCGGTCCTCGCCTGTCATCAAGGCGAGGAACCGCATTTACACCGGACATGACCTTGTAATTCCGGCCCCAACTAGGGAAAGGATTGGGCGCGGGCGCAGGCGGGAGGGATGCTGGGGACCTTCAAGGAGGGGATTTTTTTTTTTTTATTATCAATTTACTATAGCAGAGCAGGCCGTCCTGCTTGCTACCCTACCGCCAGTTAGAATCACCCTATGCCCCTTCAGGGAAACTGCTCTCCCTCTTGGAGAGCCTTAAAGACGCCACCCCGCCTCAAGGGGAAGGGCGCAAGAATGTAAAAGTGTCCCCGACACCATACATTAATTATGTAAATATGTAATATAATAATTGTAAATAAGGCAGGAATCATATAGAATATTGATAATTAATCATAACTATAATTATAAGAACCAATTGTATATGGGTACATAGTAAATAGGTACATTAAATTGTCTTGGCAAAAAAAAAAAAAAAAAAATATATATATATATATATATATATATATATATATATATATATATATATATATATATATAGGTTATACACAACCAATCACTGTACATATTATATTCTGATTCAGCACTATAACAATCATATCAATCATATAACAATCAAAATTACATTTAATATAATTAAGTATAAACATAAATGGAAATTCAATAGGTAATATAGGCAAGAATCTTGAAGTATATTTTATTAATTATACAATTATTAATTAATTCTCTCTAACTGATTAAAAGTTGATTGCGATCCCATAAGCAGCCCCGAACCACAACAAATCAAATGTATATAAAGAAAAGTTATCCTTGCATTAATAAACATCAATTATGTTCGTTGTTGTCTCGTCCTCGATGATGAAAGTTTACTAATGTAGTCCCGGCTTGTATTCTCAGGCGTCACACAATTTTAAAGCTAAAAGCAAAAAATAAAAGAAAAAACGGAACGACACCACTAGTCACCGTGCTGCCATCTATATCCCAAATTCCTCATTCGGTCTTTTGTGTTTTCGATGCGGCGTCCATTTTTTCGTTTTCTTAATAATTTTTAGTTTTTTTATTAATAAAATTAACGAAAAATGTCGAGAAAGAGGTCACCAGAGGAAGAGAAAAATCATTTACTTAAGAAAATAAGAAAGATAGAGAGGAAGATCATGGATTTACCGGCATCGGATTGTGAAGGTGAGGTTGAGCACATGGTTTTGTTTTTTCCTCTCGGAAACTACGAATTTTGCAATTAAGCACCAATATTGTTTTTTACACTGGGCCTGGGACATTCTGCGGGAATGTATATGGCTGACAAGTAATTAACAATAGAAAAACCTAGGGGTGTTTCGTGGGAACACACGTGGTTTTTTGGTTGGAAAAAAGGTTAGGCTAGGTCATTCTGTGGGAATGAACATGCCGAAACTCGACATTAAATATGTCTTTCGACTTTTCAGACGAAACGGAGCTAATAGAAGGACAGCCTGATAAAGAGAATGTTCCATTGCCGCCAGAAGACGAATTTCCTGATGGTAGTCTCATAGGAGACGATGAACAAGAGGGCTCCTTAGATGCAGAAATTCTAAGCGTATTGGGCGTGGCTCCAGCCCCAGCTCCTAAAAAAGAAGTTTTACACAAGGAGATAGCAGACCGATGGTCTGAAATATTAAGCAAAGGATTGGAAAAAGAAGAGAAAGAGACACTACAAAAAGAAAATAGTTCTTTTGACAATGTTCCCAAGATGATATCACCAAAACTTAATAAAGAAGTAGCTGTGGCTCTTATAGATAGTGCTCGAAAGCGGGATCAGGTAATTGAAAGTAGGCAGAAGCAGATTTCTACAGCAATCTCTTGTATAGGACAGGCTCTGCAAATGTCACTACATAACAGCCAAGATAATAAACTTGCCATAATAAAAAAGATGAACGATGCTGGAAGACTGCTATGTGATTCGCTATTTTTAGACTCCAGGGGTCGCAGATCTCTTATCTTATCAAGTATCAACAAGGATCTCAAAGATTTCCTGTTAGAGACGGAGACAGGGGAGTACCTGTTCGGAGAAAATCTTACAGAGAAGATAAAGACAGCTAAGGCTGTGCAAAAATCAGGAAAGGAACTTAAAGTTGATGACAAAAAGAAACCTTTTGTGAATCGTACTGAAGCAAACAACAAGAAGGCGACTAACACTAGGACTTTAAACTGGCGGGGCCCTCCTCGAGCCGGACCACAGCAGAGGTTCCAGAAGCTGGGAGGGCCAGCATTCAACAAACACCAACCGGCATCGAGGAAAGAAGAGAGGGCACCTGCGAGGAGAGGGAAGAAATAATTGTAGAGGTAGGAAGAATTTGTTATTATATTCATAACTGGAAACAAATAACAAATGATCCCATTATATTGGAATGGGTTAAGGGGTATAAAATCCCATTCAGGGAAATACCTCATCAGAAGTTTGTTCCCTTGAACAATAACTTTCCTAAATCAGAACAATTACAATTAAGATCAGAAATCAAGAGGTTATTAAGTATAAAAGCCATTAATAAGTGTACACCCACTAATAATCAGTTTTGTTCACCTATCTTTGTTATCAAAAAACCCAATGGATCATTCAGGTTCATCCTTAATCTTAAAAAATTAAACACCTTTGTTAATTGTGAACACTTTAAGTTAGAAGATTATCGTACTGTTTGTAAACTTATACACAATAATGATTATTTAATATCCCTAGATCTCAAAGATGCTTACTACATGATTAGTATTCATGATAGTAGTAAAAAATATTTAAGATTTTATTTTGAGGGCAATTACTATCAATTTAATGTATTACCCTTTGGGTTATGTTCTGCGCCTCTAACTTTCACAAAAATTATGAAACCAGTGACATCTTACTTACGTAAAAAAGGTTTCTTATCTGTTGTATATCTTGATGATTTTTTGTGTATAGGCAAAAATTATAATGATTGTTTTGAAAATATGAAAATAACAAAAGAGTTGCTTTCAAGATTAGGTTTCATTGTTAATAAAGACAAATGTAAATTCACTCCAAAACAGGAATGTGCTTTTTTAGGGTTTATCTTTAATACAGTTAACATGACCATTAATATTTCTACAGAAAA